AGACCACCTCGCGCGCGGCAGCGCGGAGCTCAGAACTGCGACGATGTCTCAGGCGAAACGGGCTGGACCACTTCTCGCGCAGCATCTCCGAGCTCAGAGTTGCAGGGATGACTCAGGCGAATCGCGCCGGACTATTTTGCGCGGCATTTCGGAGCTCAGAGTTGTGAGGATATCTCAAGTGAAGCGTGCCAGACCACCTCGCGCGTGGCAGCTCGGGGCGCAGAGTTACGAGGACGTCTCGGGCAAAACGCGCCAGACCACCTCTCGCGCGGCATCTCGGAGTTCAGAGTTGCGTGGATGTTTCAGGCCAAACGCGCCAGACCACTTCGCCTGCGGCATCTCGGAGTTCAGAGTGGCGTGGATGTCTCAGGCGAGACCCGCCAGACCACCTCTCACGCGGCTCTTCGGAGCTCAGAATCGCGAGGATGTTTCAGGCGAAACGCTCAATCCCGGCTAAAAGGGCTTCTCTGATCGCCCGTCCTTCGACCACACCTAGTTTCTATCACAGCAGCACCCTGTTCAGCAGGCTGTGTGGGGATCAATGCTGCAATATCTACCGCTACAGTGTTTACGTAAGTTCAGCCACGCGCAAAAAGGGGTAGGGGGAGGGGGTAAGGCTTTTTAGAAGCACCCTGCTTCTTACAAGGCGCGGCAAGATTTCCAGACCTTTGGGGACGATCTCCAGGAGGGGCGGTTTTTCACGGGGTACGATAGGGGGGGATAGGCATAGGGGGGGATGCATCGACCCCCAATCGCCCATTGATCGCCCATAGGGGCCCGATAGCCCCAACCTGCCCAGGAAGGTGCGGATTCACTATCGGAGGCCTATCGCCGATCTATCGACGATGTATCGCCGATTCCAGGTCGATGCATCCCCCTTATGCCCATACCCCTCTATCGTTGCCCCTCAGTTTTGTTTCGGCGGAGGAGGTGCCAGTGGGGGCCTGACTACCAGGACCCCGCCCGCAGCCGCGTGGCTTAGTCCTGGTTTGTTTTCGGTGGCCTCCGAGCTCGAGGGCAGTATGACACCAAGGAGCTCTCTGCCCACGCTGTAGGTTTCGGTAATGTGCCTGGCTGGCGCCAGTCGATCAACATGGGGAAGCCCTGAGTTTCTTGCAATACCTTAAAGCTGTCCTCCCAGTTGCCAATGCGTTTCTTGTCACTCATTCTTCTTATGTAGTGAACAATTTAGACAAGCTCCAGCGGGGCAGTTTCCCCAAGTCCCGCCTGGCTGTGTGTCAGAATATCCAGGTGTTGTTAGCTGGGCTTCCCGACCGATACATAATTTTGGCCAAGGTTGAGAATCACAGAAAAGCGGAATATGTTTGTAGTTTGGGTATTGTCCGTTTTTTTTCTTTCTTTTTTTCTTTGCTTGACGAGCTTGCCGACCGGATAGCGAACCAGTGGGCTGAGAATCTCATGAGTTTCAGAAAAGGACAGGCACAGCAGGTCCCAAGCCCAGGCTATTGCTTTTCAAGCTTGCCAGCGCCTTGGTCACAGTTTGCTTGCATCGATAGAGGTTGATGTACATCGTGCTCCCAGAGAGGCGACCCTGCTTCCTAAGAGACGGGAGATGAAGACTCAGCTGTTCGCCTCTGCCCGCGAGCTTGTCTTGGATACCAGTTCCCAGATTCGCTGTCATTGCTGTGGTGGCAGTGCGCCTTTCAGAATGCTCGGCAAGTTTTTAGCCACCCCGTGGCCACCAGGGCCTCATTAGGGGTTGGTCATTCCGACGCGCAGTAGTGTTAATGGAAGGACTTGCATCGTTCCCACACCTTGGCTTATCATGAGGAATGTGGGAGCACAGTTTGTTTAGCCTGAGGGAGTATCACTACGCAGACGGTCAGGACCTTGTCGAGAGAGTGCAAGAAGCATTATAATGTGTATTGCAAGCGTCAGTTGTCGAAGTTGCATCAAAGGTTGCCTCCAGGAACCTCAAAGCTTGCCAAGATATGGCGGGCCCAACAGAAGGTCCTGCGATAACCACTGCTCCGTTCGGGTCTGGCCGCGGGGATTCAGGCATGATCTGCCCAGTCTGACTTGTGGCGAGGCTCGTGCGGGGTACCAACCGTTCAACTCTGCCTGAGGCTGGAAGGAACAGCAATTTCTTAGAAGGCGCGGGCTGCGACTGTAGATGGAAGGCCCGCGCCCTCTAAGAAGCAGCCTCTTTCTAAGAAGCCTTCCCCCTCCCCGCACCCCCCCCTTCTGCGCGCCGCCGAATCAGTGTGGCATAGCGCTTTCCTTTCGTTTGGCTTGTGCCATCGAGCGGCCACCCGGGGGGGGGCGGCCCGCTCGGGGCTGCTGACAGTGGGGCTCGGGCGAGCTTCCAGATGCCGCCCTCGCCCTCGTCGCCCGCGTGCTCCTCGGCGTGCTCGTCCTCGCGCCTCGGTCGCGTGCTCCTCCTTCCCCTCCGCCTCCAGAGTGCTTCCCCCTTGTCGCCCTCGCCCCGGGAATCCTCAGAACGAGGACGATAGGGCGTCGCGTAGTAGGGGGGGGCGATGGATGGGGGGGGGGGGGGGGCAGCGAGGGCTGCAGAAAAGGCCCTGCAGGGCCCCTGCAGGGGCGCTTTCGGGCCCGAGAGGGGGGGGCCTTTCGGGCCTGAGAAGTGCACCGTGTTTCCCCCCACCACTTACAGTCGTGGCGCTGAGGAAGGAACCCTTTTCGTTGGGGAGGGGCTCGGTATTCCTTATTTGTTTCGCAGCTTGCCTAACATGTTCTCTAAGTTTCCCATTGGAAATCGAAGTTTAACTTATGGATAAAAGGGGCCTCGTTCCTTATTAAGGGTTCCTTAGGTCAACGCCTCGACTGTATCGTCCGCCCAGTGAGCGAGGCCCAAGAGGACGAGGACGCCCGGCGTCGGCGTCGGCGTCCAGGGCCGCAGGCCGGACCTGCGTCGGCTCGAGCCTGTCACGGGCCCCTGGACCTCTCGAGCCCCTCCCCATGCAGGGCCAGCCTTTCCCTCTCGCAGCGCTCGGACGCGTGCACCATTCTCTCGGCGAGGGCCATCGAGGAGCATCCCGGATCCCCGCGCGAATAAGAATAATAATAATAATACTAATAAGACGAACAATAATAAGAAACATAATAAGAATACGAATACTACTACTACTACTACTAATACTAATAAGAAGAAGAAAAACAATAAGAAGACGAAACCGACTAACAATAATACTAAGACGAACAAGGATAATAGTAATACTAATACTAAGAAGCATACTACTAATAAGAAAGCGAATAATAATAAGAATAGTAGTTCTAATACCAAGAAGCAGAATACTAATACCAATAACACTGTTAATAATACGCATGAGAAGAATAATAATAATACTACGAATAATAATAACACGAATAATACGATTAAGAAAAATAGTACTAAGATTACTAAGAATAATAAGACGAATAATAATAACATTAAGAAGAGCAATAAGAGGAAGAAAACGAATAATAATCACAATAATCATATTACTACTACTACTACTACTACTACCACCACCACCACCACCACCACCACCACCACCACCACCACCACCACCACCACCACCACTACTACTACTACTACTACTACTACTACTACTACTACTACTACTACGACTACTACTACTACTACTACTACTACTACTACTACTACTACTACTACTACTACTACTACTACTACTACTACTACTACTACTACTACTACTACTACTAAGAAGAACAAGAAGGAGAAGAAGAAGAAGAAGAAGAAGAAGAAGAAGAAGAAGAAGAAGCGCGCAGCCGAAGAGTGCCCGGGGGAGTGGACGTCCGAGTGGTGGCGGGCCCAGCCCGCGCCGCTGCTCGTACGGCCCCCGGGGGGGGCCCCGCAGCGGGCCTCCGGGCGCCCAGGCCTCCTGGGGAGCAGCCGGCCGTCTGCCCGCTCCTCCACCTGGCCCGGCGGGCGGGGCTCGGGTGGGGGGGAATTTGGTCTTGGCATCCCTTTTGCGCTTTTCTTTTGTTTAAAAAATATTTTAAATATGTATATCATGTTTCTTATATAAAAATATGTATAATATCAAACATATTAAATATATGTTTCTCATATATATGTATTAGTAACTCTCTCTCTCTCTCTCTATATATATATATATATATATCATTTTTCCTTCTCGGCGAAGACCATCGAGGAGCATCCTGGATCATGCAGCAGCAACACATGCGTGCACGGAGCCGACAACTGCGGGGGGGAGGGGACGTCCGAGGGGCGGCAGGTGGTGGGAGACCCCGCGAAGCGCGGTTCAGGGCACGCGGCGGGCGGCGGCGGAGCTGCGGCAGAGCTCGGCCGAGGGCGCCCGGAGCGCCCCTCAGCGGGCCCAAGGGGGCTCATCACTGGAGGCCCCCCCCCCCCCCGAGAGCTACGGCTTCTTCCTCAGCCATGCGCCGCAGCAGGACGGGATTCTTGTTGTCATGGTCGCAAGGGCTGTGCGCGTGGAGGGCCTCTGCCGGCTCTGCTGCTGTGGCTGCTCCCATCTCTTGGGTGAAGTCGGGCCTGTCCCTCTAATGGAGGATGACGATTAATAAATGACCGGGGGTTGTGTTCACGCGGCGGCGCCCGGGATGACGATAAGAAAAGACCGGCCGCGGGCTGGAACACTTTTTTTTATCGTTCTCCTCCAGTCAGAAACTATTGTGCAGGAGTAGCAGAAAACTATGTGTTTAATCGGTCTCTCCCATTTTTTTATGAATCGTCATCCCGCATTACAGGGGGACAGGCCCGACCCAGCTCTTGTGTCGACGCCGAGGCCGTCTGCTCCGCCGAGGCGCGGCGCGGGAGGCGCCGCGAGGCGCTCCTCGCCGCGACGTCGACGAGGCCGCGCCGCTCGGCGCCGAGCGCGGACAGGGGCGCTGCATCGGCTCCGACGTCGAGCGCCGGCGAGGGCCTCTCGGCCCGCGGCCTCGTCGCCGCCGGCGTCGCGCGGCGTCGAGCGCCGAGGAGGGCGCCGCTCGGCGCCGGCGGAGGCGCACGCCGCGCGCGCGCGCGCCCGCAGGTCGGCCTCGGGCACGCCGGCGGTGCGCCGGCGGAGTGGATCGACGCGTGGCACGTGGCGCGGCGGTGGCTGAAGGCGCTCCGGAGGAGGGGGGAGGTCCGGAGAGAGGGGGAGGTCGGCCACGCGCAGAGGGGGGAAGGGGGAGAGGGGGGGAGGCTTCTGAGAAGGAGCCCTGCTTCTCCGAAGACGCGGGCTGTGCCTACAGTTTGATGCCCGCGCCTTCTAGGCCTTCCCCCCCCCACCCCCCTGATTACCCCGTTGTGCGCGCCGCCAAGGAGGCTGAGGGATGGTCGGGGTCAGAAGAAGAGTCTGGCTAGCGGTCGGGTCGGCCGAGTCACGTCGGGTGATGCTCGGGCGGCCCGAGTATACTGCCTTGACTCATTGTGGTCTGGCGGCGGCAGTTTCACAGCTGTTTGGTCAGGTCAGTGCTTGGACGGCCCCGGTGGCCAGTGGCACTCAAGCAGCTCCCTTGGAACCTGGCGCTGACCTGACTGTTCTTATGTTCCCTAGCGGGAGGAGGGTTCGGAAGGATGAAGGGGAGGGGTGCGGACGCGTAAGACACCAGCATACGCATAAGCGTCGGAGAGCCGCGCGGATTTTCGATTTGGAGTTGGGGCCAGTGCCTGCGGGAGCTCCTGGTGGAGCCCTTCTTCGTCGTTGCCGCCCTCCCTCCTCCGCCTTCCTCTGGTCCTCCCGCTGCTCCCACTCCAGCTCGTGTTGCTGCTGCTCGTCCTCGTCATCATCCCATCATCCCCCCTCGTCCTCCTGCGCGTCCTCATCCTTAGCCGCCACATCCTCCTCTAATGCACAGAGCTCGCCTGTCTGATTGCAAATCACCCGATGGGGTCACGTGGGGGAGCCAGGGCCGCTAGGACACCACTTGGCACATAGAGACAGATCAGCAGAATGGAAAGGGCTGAGTGAGAATGGTAGGGTGTCAGATACGGCGCACAACATGCTTCATGTAAATGACAACTTGGCAACGTGATAGCTACCGTCATCTTCCCCGAAGACGTCCTGAGAATAGCGGCCCGCATTCGCGTATTGTTATCCGGCACAGGAGAGTGGCCATATTCATTGTATATCTAATATGCTTTACAATGTGAACCTGTTCGGCCCTTCCAAAAATGGTGCTCCCCTTTCAGCCATGGCTGGTACTTCTGTCTATACATCGATTGTCATGCACATGTGCGTGCATCCATATCTATATATGTATTTATATACATACATATACATGGACGGGTGCTCCCGTTGCAGTGCTGACACCGTTTTGAGATCGCCGCTCTGCCCCCGTCGTTCAGCATGGCGCTCTCTCGCCCCCGCGCGGGCCACACTCGTGGATCCAAGTGCCTCCTCCTCGCGGTCGCGATGCCTTTTCCCCTCCTCAGCCTTCGTCTGATCCTCCTGCATCTCTCGCTCCTCCCACTCCAGCTCCTGCTGCAGCTCTTCGTCGTCGTCGTCGTCCTCCTCCTCCTCCTCCTCTTTTCCATCCTGCTCATCATCCTACCCATCGGTCACTTCCTCATCTGATGTACGCAGCTCTTTTTTTTTCAGACTGCGCCTAACTCGATGGGGCCTTTGTTAGGGGGCCCAGATCCGCTGTGGCACCTGTTTGCGGACAGGGAAACTTATCGCAATTGGAAGGGATGGGTGGGAGGGGTCCCAGGATGCCAGATATGGCACGAGCGCGCCTAGCTTGCCCCTCGCTCCTCTCCCCTCTCCTCCCCTCTTTTCCCTCTCCTCCCCCTCCCTCCCCGTCTTCTTTGTAACACTCCTCTCTCCATTTCTCCCCGGATCTGGTCCGAGCGGGCCCCGCTTTCTCCCACACTTTTGTTTTTTTGGCGTATGACCTTCCATGTGGCTTGTTTTTCCCATCGGAGCGAATCCGGTGTTTCAGAATGGTGTTCCCGCTGTAGCCCTTGCTGCGTTTTAGGATCTATGCTGCGCTCCCGTCGTTCAAAATAGCGCTCTCACCCCAGCCCAGGCCACAATTCTGGATCCGAGTCCTTCATAGTCGTTGTCGCCCCGCTCCTTTCCCCTTCTCCGCCTTCCGCTGGTCCTCCCACTCCTATCCTGCTGCCGTGGTTCTTCCTCGGCCTGTTCCTTCCTCATCCTCATCCTCTCGCTCCTGCTCACCCCTTTGCTCATCCCCCACCTTCTCCTCCTCCTCCTCCTCCTCCTCCTCCTCCTCCTCCTCCTCCATCTCCTCCGTCTCCAATGTGCGCAGCTCCCTGTTTGCTGACTGCGCATAGCTCGGCGGGGTCTTTGCTGAGGGTTCCACGTCCGCTGCGACACCCGTCGGCGGACAGAGAGTGTCCGGCGCAGCGGGAGGGGATAGGCGGGCAGGGTAGGATGTCAGAGATGGCGCGAGCGCACCAAGCCTGCCTCCCTTCCCCGCTCTTCCCCTCCCTCCCCTCATCTACAATGGCGCAGTCTGAATCCTACTCTCCTCTCTTCCCTGACTCCGTCTGGAAGATGCTCCGCCCTGTCCGCGCATCAT